ATCCAATTGGTCTTGATCCTAAATAAAACTGACAGGTGCAGCACCAAGACAATTTGATTTGTTGCCTCATGTCTTGTGAAAGCTGTCACTCATAGAAAGGTACCGCATGGATTGAAGCGAAGAGGCATGTTTGGTGTCTACTGGAAGTGATACTGCATTAAGCAGGTTTTCAGGAGTCAAAGGGTCATTTCTAACAGCTTTGTCTAACATTTGGTTGTTAAAGACAGAGATGAGCAGACCGAGCTTCTAAGCAGTCGGCTAGAATCATAGTTAAACAATGTGTGCTCAGTTGGTTTGTTCAATATGCCACTGGATGCGCTTTGCTGTAGATTTGTCTTTCCCATCACCCTAGTGAATTCTGACACGATGTGCCAAGCATAACCAGAAAAAACAAAGTGTCTAAATGCGGAGGGATTTGCATTTTTCATTCACACTGTCACACAGTCGGTTATAGATTTCATTGTGGAGAATAAGAAGATTTACATTATTCTCCGCAGACACAAATCTATCTAACATGACACTTAAATCCTCCCAGTGGAGCACTACTCAGCAAGATTAAAGCATAGACTTAAAGCATTTAAAAATAAAGATATGTCATGTTGTTGCTGCAGTCTCAGGCCCTAATTCTAAAAGCTGATTACTGGGTTCTCAGGTTGTAAAATTAGACATCAATAATATTGTTTGGTTATATTCTTTAAGAAGTAAGGACATTTTCTCTAAATCCTTCACTCAGTTCATATACTGTATAGAAACATCTGAGCAATTATATTAATAGTCAGAGCAATGGATCTGCTTTTTTCACCCATGTCTTTTCTTTTTACAAACGTTTTTATTACAGATATAAAAATGTTTTTTGGCTCTGGTGCATTTACTGCATTAATGTGCACTGTTCTTGCCAAATAGATCTCTAAATTAAAAAAGTTCCTAATGGGTGTGGAAGGCAAACAATGTCATAAATCATTGAAAACGACATGTCCACATTCACTGCAGAGGTCCTTTAATCAAACAACTGTTTTTTTTTTATTTAGGTGAAGAAAACCTGTCTCCATCAGTCTGGTAAGTGGATTTTTCATCAGCTCATCTTTGATCAGTCCTTTATCGAGGACTCCCACCAGACACAAATGGGTAAAGAGAGGAGTCTAGAAAAGCCTGTTTCCCTTTGTTCCCCAATACATTTGCATTTTGTCATGTCCCCGTCTGTGTGTGTGTCTTATTCCTGTCTTGCCGCTAACCTGGGGCCGCCTACTAACACACATGCTTGCAATCAGCTCACAACCGGTCCTGGCTCACCACCACACACCTGTCTACAATTAGCTAATCAACGCACAGTATATCAGCTAAGGCTTTTATTAAGGCACTCATTGCCATATTTTGTACCATTCCCTCTCCCTTTAAAAATAAATATATATATTGTTGCATCTATTGGATAGTACAGCAGAAGATAGTGGGAGATAGCAAGAGCTGGGAAGCAGGGCCACAGGTCGAAGTCAGGCAGTTACTAAGGAATCTACTGGGGAGCCCCATCGTTCCAGTCTTATAGCTATGCTCAGGTCCGTATTTCAGTGACTCCAATAGAGCCTACAAATGTATTTATCACCTAATGTAATGCATGTTAGTTTCTTTGTGCTCCAGAAATCCTATTCACATGCCTGCCTGCTTGCCAACTCATTCTCTCTGCTTCCTCTGTTGCTGTCGTCCAAATCTCCCTTCATCTCCTTCATGCCATTGTCAAGCCATTCACTCATGTTGGTCATCTTTAATTGCATGCCATATGTTGTAGTTATACAGGAATACTTCCAACATACAAAACAACTCTTTCCACTGAAGCACAAACCATTCTCTGAATACTTTGCTATTCTGTGTCTCTCTTGCTCTTTGTCCTACTTGTTTCACCCTCTGCTTTTAGGAGGGTGTTACTCTGAACCCATGGACAAATTATAACAAAACACTGTGTGGTGTTGTAAATAATACAGAGCAGAGATAAAAGCTGTGTGGCAAGGGATACAAAGCCAATCTTCTCTATCTCCTTTGTGCAGTACCAGCTCAGCTGAACAGGCTACTTTATTAGGCTTAGTCAGTTTTTATGTGATGAATATTCTGACATTAAATAGAACTATTGTTTATGTGCATGCATAAACACACTAATTGTAGTATATTAATCTCTCACACACACATACAATGCTCTATTTTATGAATCATTATTTATCCACCAGTTTGAGACCACATGAAAGGAACCAAATGTTTGGAAACTTTGACCTTTAATCATTTTATTGTGTTGCACTCTTCGAGGAGCCTGTGACCTAAGATTTTCATCGTCATGACTACACTGTAGCTATGTACGTATGACTAATAAAAGCCTTGAACCTTGAATTTAACATCATTGGCTTTGGATGTCTTTGATGCTTGTATTAAAACTAATTTCACACAGGTCAAATCTAAGGTCTTCTTGAGCTCTGTCTATTGAAATAGAAGGTGTAATTCTCTATTTCACCTCGACAGTAGCTGACACCTAAAATAGTTTTTCAATTGCTGTAATGCCGGTAATTTGGCGATGCTGTCATTCGTTATCACCACTTTCTGTACTAAAGTGGTTCTCTAAACATGAGAAAAATACATAAAACTGCTTTCTCTCCCGCCGTTTTCTTTGTTCATACACACACCGACTGTGTAAATGTGATGCGGGGTGATGACCTAGACAAGGAAAGTGCACAATCTAGTAGAACGAGTGTCTTCCTTGTGTCTGAAATGCTTTTTGAAGCGTAACAAAAACAAATTACACTCTCAAAGGAGCTGCCATCGCTTAACTTTAACATGTGTTGTGCTTAGCATGCTGCTGCATACTCACACCAGACTACAAGGTAAGCGGAATTTCCACTCAGTCAAGACAACTGATTTGAGTTCACCTTGAGTGTAAGTAAGCCTCACAGTCGCTTAGACAACAGAGCAGAATGAAGAGTGTGTTGGAGAGTGAGACAAATCAATAGTCAATTAAAGGTTTTTTTCGTGACAGGATTTAAGAATCATATTATTGAATTTACATTTTTATTATGATAATAATTTACTCGACTCTCACTCAATGACAATTTTTCTTGAGTGTTTGGGAAATGTATGTAATATGCATGCAGTACTTTCCTACACTCTACCTCTATTAAGTGTGATTGTTATTAATGTGAGCACTTATTCAAACCTCTCCTCCCTCCACTCCTTTGGCTGTGTAGGTCAGGAGCTTTTAGAATAAACTGAAATGGCACCAAGCCCTATTTGGTGCATTCACAAGCTCCTCTAGTTGGAAGCGATTTTTCTAACTGTCTATGAGCTTCAACTTGTAATGTGGAAACAAATTGACCTTAAAAAGAAGATATGCTGTATTTATCGATCTGAGCATTTAAACAACACCTTTATATCTGGTACAAGTTTTTAGTTAGGATTTCAGTGAACAGGAATAGCCCTGTCTGGGAATTTATCAGGATATTCTGACACCACCATGAATGCAACATAATTGGTATATCCGCCCAGTGACTGGGAATACTCCAACAAGTAGGTTCTTTCTTGGCGAATACATTCTTCAATTTCAAGAAAATGTGGACAGTCGTTTTCCCCATACTCTTAATGACAGATAAAAAGACTCAAATGAAAACATTGCATTATTGGCAGATTATATTTTTCGAAATAGGGAACAACTCTAGTTTATCATTTGAAATCATTTTCAGATTGAGAACAGGTTTGGACAAGCTTTCTCCAAAGTGCTAATCATTCCAAAAATATTTTGGCTACATTGCATTCATCAGAGATAACAATAGACAGTGACTGCTTCAATTCCACCATCTGTCCTGCCAGGTTTTTGTGTTGGAGATTATTGGTACTGTTGCATGCTTAAAAGGGACATGCATAGAACTGGCAAGGCTTGAAATGTTTTGCACCATTGATCATAGTTTACCTGTCTAAAAATACAACTGGAAAGTAAAGTTAATAGTTTATTCAAATGTAGGGACACAAATGAATTACAATCCATAAAGACCAAAACTTTGTTCAGATGTCTGTTACGATAGCCACCGAAATAAAAAATATATATAAATGTTTACTTGCCATCTGCTTTTATGGTCAGTAATTTTCAATGCACCCGGCTTCTCTCGTCTAGATAATTACATTTTGCATTTCTTCCCAAGTTTTCCTCTGCTCTTTAATAATCAGAAAAGGTACCAGTCAATTGAACTCACTGATTAGCTCTTCTTTACTGCACCATCACCTCTCTAGCATCCATATGTCACCTCCCAAAGTCTGAAACAACCTCCTTTATGATCGAACCTAAATAACCTAAATTCATGGCTTCGAAGCACAGGCATCAACATGTTCAAGCCAATTAAGTTGAGTCTTATTGAGCCCAGAACACTACTTGCCTATTACAAGTATGATCTATAGGCGACAGGCATATGCTATGCCACAATCTGTATTAAATGCAGAACGGAAATTTCTTTACTGCCTTTTGTATATTTAAAAATCCAATATATTATTCCTTGAATCTTATCTTTTAAGATGTATCTCTGTGCCAACTTTAGGGGTCACAAGCCCTGCAGTTCCAACATTTACCAACTTTTCCATAAAGTATTATCTGTCAAGGTTTATATAAATCCATTATATTAGTTGCCTACACAACCAACTGGCTAGACATATTTATATCAAACCTGATGCTTTATATTTATGTAACACAACAGATAATGTTTAATTTGACATAACACTAATTTAGTTACTTCATTAGTTCAGTTCATAGTAGAGTTCCCCTGAAGCAGCAGTGTATAGGAGCATGTGTATCAGCACATTCGACAGAAACCAAACACTGGTACTGGCCTAAATGTCCACTCATATGTATGATTTTTACTTTTAAATAAAAACTGTAGACTGAATTTTTTTTAACAGATAAAGGTTTTTGTAAATTGTAATATTATTTATCATGGTAAAATTGTCGTAAGTGCGGACAGGATACGCAGCTGCATGTACTTGTTTCCAACATGGCGGATGTCGGCACGTAGAATTTGTTTTGGGATATAACATCACGGATTATCGTAGCATTTGGACTACGTGAAAGCTATTTGGTTCACTTAAATTCAGCACTTTACTGTTTTTGTTGTTTTACCCACCTAGTTAATTCGTTTTCACAAGAAACCGGGAGATGCATCGTCGCGCAGCGGCAAAGAAGGACCACAACAACAAACCAGTGAAGAAGAAGGACGTGAGTGACAGTGATAAATACGCCGACCTCTTGGTGTTCGGCTATGCCTGCAAACTGTTTCCAGACGACGAAAGGGCTCTTTACCACGAACATGGAAAACATCTTATTCCATGGATGGGGGACAAGAACATCATGATTGATAGGTCGGTTGAACAAACTTAGACCGAAACATTATGCTAACCATCTATGCTGTCCGTTAGCCTGTTTCACAATTCAAGGGACCTCTTGGAGTGTGCCTTGCAGAAGCTGGAAATACCTGCAACTGGCGACTAATGTTTTACTTCCTGCTTGCTACTTTGTTATAGGATGTCATGAACTGATACAAATGATATCTGAAGTTACTACAATAACATGTGAAGATGCAAATACCTGCCATACTTGGCTAAAATTAGCTGTGATGCTGAACTAATAATACACAACCAGTCACACCAGCTAAAACTAATGCAGTTTAATATACAATGTATACAAACAAGGCTTAGCTACCAGTAAAGTAAAACAGTCTGAACATAAAGATAACATTGTACACTTAATAAAGTTTCTGCTGAGCTATTTACTTGCATTAGTTTGGGCTGTGTAGCTCCTAAACCAGCAATAGTGTGTATTTTTGATTTTTTTTTTAAAAACAGAGATATTTAAATCTCATAACCCGAAGAGACACAATTATTTGCTTTTAGCAGGACTTTGCATTTTGACATGTTTGGGAGAATTTCCTTTGGAAACTTTAACTTCAGGCATACATAATATTTATCAATATGGAGTTTAAAACAAAGGATGTTACTTTTTGTTCTGTCCTTTTTTAAATTGAGTTTAGCAGAAAATGCCTATCTGTACACAAAACACACAACCTGGGTCTTTATTATGCGTTGCTTATATCCTCAAGGCCAGAGCAAATTCTAACCAAGACTAAAGTTGCAGCAGTCAAGGTGATTCAAAATATCACAACGCCTATGTGAAACATTGGGGTTTAACTATCCAACACAAGGTTTCAAAGTGCTTACAGCCTACCAAGTGTTGCTTCAGGCAATGTACCAATGTTTTATTGCCACCTCCATGCAGTATTACATTAGTGCATTTATTCTTTGAATCACCTCGATCTGCAGTGGCCCAACTTGTGTTTCATTTGTACAGCCTTTGTATGTGTGTCTTTATCACATAACCCAGTTTTTCCCCAGCAAGCTAAGCTAAGGGGTCCTGCCAAACCCCCAAAGCCAACTTCAGCACCCCATTTCTTTGTCTTCATGAAGAAACTGCAACTGAGAAGTGACGTAGAGGGACGAACCCTGGAAAATGTCGTCCATTTGGGTTCTTACGGATAGGTATTTATGTGCCTCGGGTTTGTGTGAATGTAACTCTCTTTGCAGATGTAGAAGTAATGATGAGTGTTACAGGGGGGAATTGAACCCTGTGAGGTAAGACTCGAGTTGCTTTGTTTGTTTCTCTTTTTGTTTTTCCTTTTCAAGTAGGGATGTTGGTTTGTAAGACTTGTCCAAGAAGGAAATAGCAGCAAAAAGCTTGCTCGGTATCTTAAGAGCACTATCGACAATTAAGCCCAAGGACTTAATTGGTGCATTATTGTGTTGTCTGTAATTTTTTCCTTTAAATATTAAGTATACTCTCATTACAGACTTACAGAGGTATTTAGAGTATTTTTGATGTAAATTGTGGGTTATAGGTCTGTTTTTCTTGGTAAGTAGGTCCATATTGTGTACAAAAAGGCTTTGTCGACTTCCCTCTCTAATCCCGTTTATCACCCAACAGATACGATGGGCGTGGTCATTTACACGACCTTTCAGAGTATGACAGCGGGTCATGGAACACGTCCTACCAGCTGTCGGAGGAGGAGGCCAGGATCGAGGCGCTGTGCGATGAGGAGAGGTACCTGGCCCTGCACACGGACCTGCTGGAGGAGGAGGCCAGACAAGGTGGGCACACTGTTGTTTTGACATTTCACACACAGTTATGGCACATCTCAGTCTTAAGCTTCTCTTAATAGGTCACTGTCAAGTCTTCTCCGTGTTTGGTGCGGTTTCCCCTCTTGAGAAGGGACTTGAAACATCTACTGGACCTTTTTAACTGGATTCCACTCCAATGACACAGCAACTGTTTCATTCAACTTTTTCAGTCTTTCATTTCAGTAGTAACACATTTCCATTTAGTTCCTGAATGGGTCTTTTAAGAGAAAAACCTTTGATGACAAGAAGGATGCATTAGACAACTTGCAATAGTCATTCAAATAAATAAAGCATGCAAACAATACACTGGCACTGCTGCCTTATTTACGAATATTTTACAACATAAACTGTATGGTTATTAGGTTTATATCAGTTGTTTTCTTTCTGAAGTAGTCGTGGTTTTTGACACGTAACAAAAGGAATTACCCAGTGCCCATCGATCATCGGTCATTGCAAATCAACCATTGCTGTTAGTATTTTCTGTGTACATATACTTTATATTCTATGTGTATTCATACTAATCATGAACCTATCAAACATACAGAGGGAAGTGTATCTGCTTAAAACATGGCCCACAAGAAATGAGCTTCAACATATCCCTCTCTTGTTTGATTGCCATATGATGGTAAACTTTGCAAAAAATATGTTACTTTCTTACATCCCTCCTCCAAATCTTTTTGTATCATCCATGTATGGCTCTACTTTTAAAGTTCACATTATCAGTGTCTTCTCGGGAAGTCAGTGTTCGTATAAGTGTGCTGAAAATGTTTAAACTCAGTGTCCTTATTTAGGACTTTTCCCCCAGACTAACACATCACAATAAACCTACGACTCGTCTGTACAGCCAGAAAAGCAATTGCTACATACTTCAATCTAGGCTTCCTAACTAAATCTCTTTTCCAGGAGGAATTTTCAACATCCCCTTTTGTGGCCCTTTCAGCTTTCCATCTCTTTAAAAAGGACTGACTTTGACTCAGAGCTGCACTGCTGCCATTTCTATGGAAATCACTTTCAACTCTTGGATGCTTGCATCTCACGTTTTACATTATAATGAAACGGGCTGTTTTGATGACCAAGCACCGTTCTAAAAGACACACTTAATGACTGTAATTGAATTTATAAGCCATACGTTTTATGTGAAATATGGCGTCTTGTGCCCAAACTGACAGGACAGAATGAGTCCATTAATGATTTTTGTCACACACACACACACACTCACTGCAGAAGGTTCATCCCCCAGGCTGGTTTGCCCTTGAATTTGGAGAACTGACCCCATTCACTTAGGCTATTACCCATCTGTCCATGGAAGGGACAGCAGGAAAAGCATTGGAAATATTGATATTTTTTGTGACAATTTTGCCCTTGCTCCTTTTAATAAAGATATAGTTCGCTATGAATTTTAATAGAAAAGGGGTAGTCTCTGGGGCCATGTATATGTATATTTGTCTCTCTCTGTCCTCTCTTATTATCACCATGTTTTTACAAGATGAAATGGACCGTCATTGCATTGAAATAGAAAATCACGGTGTGTTCCTGCTATCTGATTAAAAAAGGGTGACCAACATCGTAGTGAGTGTATCTGTTTGTTGATTGCTTTCCACAGAGGAGGAGTACAAACGTCTGAGTGAGGCTCTGGCAGATGAAGGCACCTACACAGCAGTGGCCTTCAAATACAGCGCTGACTACTACGACCCCTCTCAGCCCACTGAGGAGGAGGAGGCTAACAGAGAAGCCGGTGAGAACACAAAACACTCACAAACTGGCCTAAGCATTCAGATACAAAAAACTGCTTTTTACTGGTAGATCTAGTACTGCAAATATCAAGGGATTTTTTTTATTAAACCAAGTTATTGGTTATTCAAAGTAATCACATCACTGTATACATAAAAAATAATCCTTAAGAACCCAGACATCTCTGTGATTCTATCCTTGACACGATTGGGGTGTGATCTGTACCCTGTCTACATTTCTAGCTGCTTCACTTTTTTTAATTTTCAGCCGGATATGAGAAAGTCTAATCCTTTTTTTTTGCATTTCTTTATTTCTTTAAACTATTCTAATCCATGCGGCCATCTGCGCATACACGTTCTCCAGGGGGAGGCTGGTTTTGAATTTCTGGCTACAGAGCACACAGTGAACGTGTGAAACATATGTTTAATTTAATATTACCCAACATGACCATAAAGGTTTATTATAGCTATTTGTAACAACCATCTATCGAGCTGAGGTTGTAGCAGACAACGATTTGATCTGTGAACACTGGATTTTGGCACATTTCTGTTTTGGTTGTCATCTATTGATTACTGACTTGACACACACACACACACACACACACACACACACACACACACACACACACACACACACACACACACACACTCCTGCAACTTTAAATATTTGATGAGGAAATAGCTGGCAGCACTTTGTCCCGTGGCCTGACAGCTAAGCAGACTAGATTCCTCTCTCTGGGGAGACTGCAGAGCTGAATGCAGAGCTGAATGCAGAGTGTGAATACACCTGTCAAAGCTCTAGATACCAGAGATACCGTTTCACACTGGTCATTAACATTTTAACGCTGAAGTTTAAAGTTGAGCCCCTGCTATATATAATAATAATTCCTTACATTTATTATAGCGCTTTTCCAGATGCTCAAAGCGCTTTACAAATACACATTACACATATTATTATTATTATATATCCTTTATTTAACCAGGTAAAAGACTCATTGAGATTAAAATCTCTTTTCCAAGAGGGGCAGCATGTACGAAGTTACAACAGATAAAACACAGACATGACAGGCAGACAAATACAGCTGTAAAACACACATAAAATGGCACATTAGCCAGTCAATATGCAAAGTAAAACAAACTATTAAAAATCATTCAAAACTGGCAACATTTAAAACGATTTTAGGATATACGAGCACTCACATCTACCAATGGTGTCGTGTTCTCTGTCCTTTTAAGATGGACCTGAATTCCCCCATAGTGATTACATCTGAGAGTTTCAGCTCCTTCTGTACATTGTTCCAAGCTGTGGGGGAAGCATATTTAAAAGCTGTTTTACCCAGTTTTGTTCTCACTGTAGGAACCAGCATCTGAATAAAATCTTGGGAGCGCAGGCCATATACAAGTAGGAGGGAACCAACCCAAGCAGAGATTTATAAATAAAACCCAACCAATGGGAAAGTCTGCGAGCAGACAAAGATGTTCAATTAGCAGCAGCATATAAAGTGCAATGGTGTACTCGATATCCACATCCAGTAATAAATCGTAAGGCACAATGATACACAGTATCCAAGCTCTTTAGGCACTGGTCAGAGGCATTCATGTATATAGACTTTGCTTGGGTTGGCTTAAAAAGCTGAGGGTTAGACTAGGTTTCTTCTACAGAAATAAGTCCTGGTTCTCGCTTGAGGCCAGGAAAAGGCCAGTCACTGTGACCTTTTTACCTGTGCTGGACTATGGTGATTTGTTATATATGAATGCACCTGCCAATTGCCTGGTTAAGTTAGATGCTGCGTATCACAGCGCACTGAGATTTGTGACAAGCTGTAAAGCATGAACCCATCACTGTACCCTGTATGCAAGGGCTGGTTTGCTTTCACTAACTGTACGGAGGCTCAGTCACTGGTACATTTTTATATACAAAGCCATGTTAGGGAAACTTCCATCTTATATCTGCTCCCTGATCTCACGGAAAATTGTAAGTGGCTACTGCCTGAGATCGAATGCTGTGGTTTTATTAAATGTGCCAGCTGCTAGGACTGTCTTAGGGAAGACAGCTTTTAGATGCGCAGCTCCTCTGTCTTGGAATAGTCTGCAAATTAAATGGAAACTGAACAATCTGGTGCCACTAAATGTTTTTAAAGCTCGGTTGGATGCTACTCAATCGGAAGCTATAGGTACCTGTTTAAGTGGATAATTATGTAAATGATGCTGTATGATGTCCTTTTGTTGTTCTATTTATGTTTTTATGTTTCATGTAGAACTACTTGAGCAGGTCTCCCTTGAAAAAGAGATGGGATTTATCTGTCTAAATAAAGGTTTGAAATGAAATGTATAGCAGGTCACCATAATCTAATACAGGTAAAACGTTGCAGATATCAAATGTTTCCTTGTCTGAAAAGAGAAACAGGATTATTTTTAGCTTTGAAACAACATTTTCCGTGTGTAACTTGAAAGACAAGTTCTGTTCAATAAGAAATCCTATATTTGTAAGTAGTGACCCTCTCAATGTCAGTCCCTTGTGCAGTACAAATCTTGGGTAGAATAGATGGTAACTTTTTGCCATTCGAAAATATCATCACTTTGGATTTTTCAGCATTTAATACCAACTTTAGTTGATATAAGTGGGTTTGTATGACATCAAAGGCAGACTGGAGGAAATCTAGACTTTGCTCTATAGAAGCGGAGGAACAATAAATAACAGTATCATCTGCATAAAAATGGTAAGAAGCATTTGCTAAATGATTACATAGATTATTTACATATATGGTAAAAAGAATCGGTCCTAATATGGAACCTTGTGGCACACCCTTTGCTATCGGGAGGAAGGAAGAAGAGGACCCAGAAAATTGGACGCATTGGGTTCTCGCTGATAAATAATTGAAAAACCAACCTACAGTATGCCTAGATAAGCCGATACTGTGAAGTCTTTATGCCAGTATGATATGATCAACTGTGTCAAACGCCTTTGACAAATCAATAAATACAGTTTTTACAGTCCAATGCCTCAATTATGTTGTTCACCACTTTAATAGCAGCAGTTGTTGTGCTGTTGTTTTCTAAAACCGGATTGGTGCTCTGACAAAATATCATTTGTGTCCAAGAATAATTTAAGTTGTTCACTGAGAAGCTTTTCAAGGACCTTCGCTACAATACATCATTTTGAAATTGGCCTATAATTATTAACAGATGAGGGATCCTCTCCTTTCAGTAAAGGAAGAACATATGCAGATTTCCATATGTTAGGAATCTCATTGTTGGAAAGAGTTAAATTAAAAAGAGAAGTAAGCGGCTCAGCTATAAAGTCTGCTGCTAATTTAAGAAAATGAGGAGGAAGTTTGTCCGGACATGCCGATTTGTGTGGATCCAGATTCTGCAATGCTTTATGGACCTCTATCGCCTCGATAAAAGTGAAATTGAATGGCTGAGCAGCGGGATGGGATGGAGGTGGTGAGGAATCAACGTTCTGTCCAGGGTCCGAATGTAGGGACTCAAACAAAGAACCAGATGAAATAAAATGTTCATTAAAGCAGTTGAGAATGGCCGATTTGTCAGTGAGAGTTTGCGAGTCTGCTACCACTTTTGTTGGCAGATTTTTGTCCTTGGTCTTTTAAGCCTTTGACATGATCACACATTCAAAATCCTGAACAGTCAGTCCCCCACTGCAATGCAAACCTAAAAGAACGTGTTCGCGCTGACAGATATGACGACAATTGATCACAATATTTATCCAAATTGTCTCTAATTATATCCTGAGTGCAGAGGTCGCGTTAACCGAATATTTTCCGCGTATGACGTATTTTTTTTAACAATGACGGACAAATCTGAAAGCAGTCCGTCATTTTGACAGATTAGAACAAACTCGGAACAGCGCCAAAGTTTCCCCGCAGCGAGGCTCCGGTGTTATGCCGTGTTATGCATGCCCTCCAAAAAGGAAATCATACCTTTCCAAACCTAACTGTGCCGTACAAATTATTGAAATGTCTGTGAGTTTTGGCTTTACGCTGTGCACACTCCCGCGAGGTGCAGCAGCCATGCATAACACGGCGCATGTGAACTGTCGTCGTCGTCCCCCCCCCCGTCAGAGTTGTGTAAAGGCCGACGGGTAATTCTGGAATTTGACAGAAGTTTTACGATCCTGTCCGTCAAAATGACGGGCAGCGAAAAAGTCTAGCGCAACCTCTGCCTGAGTGAAAGACAAAAAAGCCAGAAGGTTAATTGCAGTCGAATTTATTATCAGTTGTCACTCTGTTCATGACAATTATTGTAACATTTTGTGTGTACAGACAATAATTTCATATCCTGATTTTTTTTTTTTAAAAGAAGAAGCAATTAGCTGAATTTATTCTTAATTGACATACTCCACCTTCACTGAAATATCTGAATTCCACATCATTTGACCTATGTGGGACTGTTGAGCATTTTGTTTACCTGTAAGGAGCTTCTGAGTGCATGTGTGGCCATACTGTAGCTTTTTAACAGTTTGTGATTCAGCCAAAGGTTAAATGGAACATGTGCTTTTATTTAAAAGTGAGAGTACATCCATTTACTAAAGTGTGATAACCATTGAGATTTACATAATATGCCACTTTACAATTAGCAGCCAAACACAAGCTAGTCGACCATGATAATGATCCTGTTATATAAGTGAGGAGGTTATTTAAAGAGAGCTCCTTTTGAAATTGGGGCACAGTTTGGAAGTACATTATCTAATCACTTAATTGAAATTGAGAAGGGGACATTAGATCTAGTGAACACATGGGTATCGTGAAGCTTTTAGGCCACGTCTAAAACATCTGGTATCAAAACTGTACCCATGGCATACCATACACTACAAGCCAAATTACATTTTTAGGAATTGTGGGAAGGCTGTCTTTTTCCCCCCCTGTAGACGTTATGTGTTTAATTCCTATCCTTCCTTACGGCCCGTCCACACCGGCAAGCTTCAACGCACACTGCCGCGTGGATGTGCCGTTACTGTGCAAACTCCCTGTAGTACAACATTTAAAATGGTAATTCAGTTTCCATCTGTGCAGATAAAGGTAAATGAAAGAGGGTGAAGATATCTATCTGTGGTACATTTTGTATAATGGATGAAATGTTGACGATCATGGGGTTCCGCCACTCTTAAATACTGTTTTTGGCATGCTTTATCTGAATTCACTGCTCCACTGGGAAATATATCCAGCAGGGTATATTTACATGTTATTACAAAAGAGTTAATCCTCTTCTTTGTGTCTTAAATCTCTTCACATGCTCAGAAGAGGCGGAGGCTGAGGAGAGTGAGGAGCCGTTCGTCGCTCCCCCAGGGCTCACTATCCCCCCCGATGTAGAGCTGGTGAGTCTTAAATATCCAGATGGCTTATTGTTGTTTAGGTTCTGTTGTGCTCTTATACACAGTAAAAATACTCAACATATAAAAGTGCATATGTTCAGTGGTTTTGCACAATAACAGGAACATTTAGGTAACTCGTGAACACTTCCAAATCAACTTTTTGGATGTTAACAAGGGCATGATGGGAAATGCTTGGCTTTCCCCTGATTTAGGAGCGGATTGGTTTAGGCATGTTTTTGACTGAACAACATGAACATTATGAACATCATGTATACATTCAGTATGTGTATATATAAAATCCTTTAACAGTTTAGATTTAGCATCAGAAGGTCAAATAGAAAAACATTTCAGCAAAATCTCGGAAACTAAAACTGTACAGGGTTTCCATGAGGTATGGTTTGAGGTGTTAAGCCACCCTGACACATCTCATCATTAGATGACAGTCCAATCAGTAGCCATTCAAGCATTTGCTATGTGAAATAGCACCTGTTCTTTTCCCCCTTCAACTGAAAAGCCTACGTCATTAAAGTGTATTACTTTTTATGTATTACCACACCTCTGCTACAAAACGCCACATATTCACTCTATGTATATATCCCTCCACATACAGGCTTTACAATCATATAACATACAATGTTACTAACAAGATCAAAACATTTAAATTCATAGCTGTTGCTTTTATTCTGGTGGTTTTCTTTTGTCAGACAATCTTCCCTCAGGCCCGCACCCAGAACCCCCAGTGACCCCCTTACGCTGCCACTTTGTTATGCGAGGAGAGAGACAAGCTTTAATGTTATGGCATGTGTACACTTTCAGAATACAGCAAGCTGGTTCCAGAACAGCCATAACACACATATGCATTCATACTAACAAAGATGCTGCACATAATATGCATATACTATTACTGTCTACTCCCTAGATTGTCAGGAGATCTCCTTCTCTGAATACATTTCTATGCAATGTGTCTTTGGTTATTAGAACTAGAAGGGAATTGCATGTCAAAGGTCTTTGGCCCAAATCTAACCCATTGTGATGCATCTTGGACAACTAATTAAAAAGGATATTCATATAAACAAGTTGAATGCAGTACACACATTGTATACACTGTTTATACTGATTGTTTTCTCTATTAAACTCAAGGTTTTTACTAGATAGCCGACAGTGCCCACTGCAGAAAATACAATTTGTCACAAAAGAGAAATTGAATGCAACAACGATCCTAGATCAGATTGGAAATGAAGCCAAGATGAGATTCTGTGCTTACATGAGATAACATACTGGAAATCTTCTGATGTTACACGTTAGTTATGTCTTGCTTTAGCGCAGCAACACAAGCTCAGTTATACAGGCGTGTCAGAAGATGCTTTTCTTGGGCATATCACAACATAAAACACGTATTAAACGCCCCCTTTTTACCTAATTGCTAAGTCCATAAAGCGAAAGGCCCTTGTATGTCAGGAAGTCCTTGGCAGCATAGAACACAATAATGTGCAGTTACTGTTAAACTCTGGCACCTTTTTGGCTGCTTTCCTGAAAGGTAGTATTTATTGTGACTCTCCATGATGAGATATTTGTGTTCTTGTTTTAAAATTGTGGCACTTCTCTGCACTCTCTAGGTAATGACAATGATTAATCATTAAAATCACAGAAGGGGGACAATAATGAATGAATAATGGACTATTTCTTGTTCCGCTGATTTCCACCTCTAATGTATTTTAAGAATTAATGTCGGCACAATGAACATAAGAGTGCCTGGCATGAAAATGCCTCGGAGCCTAAATTGCTTGTGTCCTTGGTTTTAAAGAAGCCATGTATACACTGTGCCATGCATCCTAATGTTATATGCAGCTGTCTGGTTCTCTCACGCTTATGTGTGGTACGCCTGCTTATTTTTCACTTTTGGTAATGAGCTTCTACATTGCTTCTACAGATGAAAAATGATCATATAAACTGACATATATAGATGTCAGTTTAACACTTGTGCTAATTCTCTGCCTTTTTCTTCCTAGCCTGCAACCATCAAGACCCATAACATCATCGAGAGGACGGCTAACTTTGTATCCCAGCAGGGGGCTCAGTTTGAAATAGTCCTGAAGGCCAAGCAGTCTGGTAACTCCCAGTTTGACTTTCTCCGCTTCGACCATTACCTCAACCCGTATTACAGACACATCCTGCGGGCCATGAAGGAAGGCCGATACAACTTCCCCTCCAAGAAGCAGGAGCAGTCGCAGGGTGAGTTACACAACGCAGTCACTGAAACCATCTGGAGGTGTCAGAAAAAGTTCCTACACCCAGTGTGCTCATTACTTTGTCTCTTGCATTCCTCGCTGTAGATTCCAACTCTGATTCAGATGAGGATGGTGATGGCAGTTACCTCCATCCCAGCCTGTTCGCCCCTAAAAGGTGCTCTCGCCTGGAGGAGCTTGTGAAGGTAATATAAATAGAATGTAGGCCACCCAGTGTGGAGCTTTACCTGTTGGCTAAAGTTTAAATCATCATATTTATCTTTTTTCTCCTCTTAATGTAGGCTTTCTTAACTGGAAGGCCACCACTGCCTGCCTGCCATTTCAATGACATGAACATGCTTTTAGTACTTCATATGCCCATTACTACATTCTTTAATAACTATTCTGTTTCCATGTCTTCATGCTGTTAAGGGTTTTTGTTAGTTCTTTCATGTGCATTGCCAGCACAGCCATTAGTCTTCACCAGAGCAGCAAGAATGGAAGTATGTCTTTTGAAAGAAACATAATGAGCTCCTTTTTAATAGCAAGCTGTCTGATAGTTGCCTCCCATCAAGAAGGCTTTCTATTTTCAAATCAGCTACTCATTTTCTACTAAGGATTCACAGTTCATGTATTACTCTGTTAACTGCTACATTCTGTATATACTGCACTGCAGTTAATATGTTATGAGTTTAGAGAAATGTAAATGATTACTGGTCTTATCTCATGTTGTGTGAAGTGACTCTTAACATAATGTGAGATAGACTGTTTGAATCTTCCCTTGTTCTTCTTCTTCCAGCCTCTACATGTAATGGACCCAGACCATCCTCTGGCAGAACTTGTCAGAAAAACCCGACTGGAAAGGAATGGCATAGAACCGGTGGTACCGGTGGTTGAGACCAAACCAGAGGAAGTGCCAGAACCAGTTGCTCCCAGCGCACCAGCGCAGTACACTGCTGACCGTGAGTATATAGGTTTTAGTCTTTAAATGATCTAATTGTGATCACGTTGGGCCTGGTATACTTTCTTTTGATCCCTTTTTGTTGTTTTGCTCTTGTTTGAGCAAATTAAAGCTGCATTTTGGCTGAGCGTACTTTTGACCACAGAAAACAGGCATTTGGCTTTCCCTATTTGAACATTTCTTGATGCTCGTGTTCTGCCACTGCTGGTTGATCAATACAGCTCCCCACTACTAAATGCTGACCACAGTCTTTAATCGATGCCAAGGCATTTTCAACATCTGGCAGCAAAGTTCTATTGAGCATAGAGGTGAACAGGGAAGGACTTGTTTTGGTGTGTGCCAGATTATCATTTTGCCACAGCACGAGAAAGGTTTCATAACCGGCTAAAAGGGGATCTAAACATAGTGAATGAAGTATTTAACAGTGTTTTTGCTTTCTTTTTAATTTAAATGTATTCATATTACATGAAAGATATAAACCCAAGATCCTGAACTGAATTGTAATAGTAAGACCCTTAAACACAGAACTAGTAATTGCATTATCATGAGGCAAAACTCGTATCAATATGAATAACAGGCCAATGGAATGCCTTTTATTCTTCCCACACAGAAAAGTCCCTGTATGCAACGTTATCATTTCTAGAATGAAAGACATAACCATCAAATGTGAAATGTACTTGTACTACGTTCTGTTTGCAAGGCCATATGTGAACCCATCCATGATGAGTCACATCCAGCCCCTCTTCACGTTATTCATCAGGCTTCCACTTCAACACATTTATGTATGACTCCATCCTCCCCTGAAACGGCCGCTTGAATAAACCCACGATCATCGGCCCCTTCTAAAGTGTTAACTTCTCCATTAATGCCATTTATTCACCCCTGAGATATTTGTGTAGGGCCTCCTTTGATCTGATCTTTGCTAAAGAAATAAGACTGTTCACAAATTGGTTGTGAATGACCTCGTTGCTTAGTGTCGTTAATATGCATTATTGCTCAACACGGGGGCTGCTAATCTGCCCATGCATGCAGCTATGCCGCACTTGATACAATGAGAAAGCCTCCTCTTGTCCTTTCGAACATTTTAGTTTTTTTATCATGATGTTAATACAGGGCGTGGATAATAAGCTGGTCCATTACCTCTTTTGTATTGGATTGCCTGCCTTAATTTAGTGTATTCAATCTCTCCCACGGACTCTAATGGATATAAGCATGCTAAAGACCTCACAATAACAGCGTCTCCAACTTTCACATTAAAGTCAATCTATGAAATATGTCTTACCCGCCGATCATCCATCTATCTGACCATCTATTTATCTGACCGACCATTAAACTACATTTATTTTTTAACCTTCCACATCTTACGTCTTCATCCCAACTGTAACACCCGTCAAGTTTGTAAATGAAAGCTTCTGCTGTCGTTTTTTATTTTCCTGACCGGCGGAAATTGCATGTGTCATTAATGTCAACCAGCTCAGTGACTAATGTGTTAATATCACACTGTTCCCACTTTGACACTGACGATTCATTGTGTCCCTGTAGTGCCCCCCTTCCTCATGCCCTGTCTCTTTTCAATAAAGAGTCTTTGTAATGCTAACTGATATGAGACATGACCCTTTCACACACAGGTCACACCTTGATGTATATTCTCTCACCTCCGCTGATTTCAATACATTCCTGCAACACACATATTCAACTTAACATAGAAACCTACTTCGACAGCGAACAGGACAGCGTATGTAAAACAGATACAACGCACACAAGTGTGAACAACTGAAGGCCCTTCACAACCATATAATAAACACTTCCACACCTCTAATCTCTTGATGTTTGATCACAACCACATTAGATTTACAAATAGTGTGCATGTATATTGAGAAAAACAAAGAGATCATTCAAGGGTTTGGGGGTCCACTTCATAAGGGAAATGTCTCCGCGTTCCTAAAAGGCTATGATCTATTTCCAACTGTTCTTGCCATGAAAATATTATTTCATCACCATGACTGAGCCCAAATGTGGCATTTCTGTTATTTATGGGCTTACTAAACAAGACTGGTTTTGACAGTTTCTATTTCCAATTGCCGATGTCTTTTCCCTGACCGGTGGATGTTTTTCTCCAAGGTTGAAATAGATGGCAATAATGGAAAGCCTCTGAAATGAATCAGTAAATCACCCTTTTACTCTTTGTGAACACAAATAACAGTTGCCCTACAGTTTTCAACCATACAGAGAAACATCCTACACAATAGAGCATTACACATCACCAAAACTATTAGTGTTGAGATCACCGTAGAGTTTAAAGACAACTGTGACACTCTCAACAAAAACAAAACATATGATCCTTTCAAATCTTGTATGTATTGAATGGCTGTAGCACTATATAATGCAGTTTGTGTCCACATGGATTACGTACAATTTCAATTTTCGAAAGGTCACTCCACATGATACTTCTCTTTCTTTACATTCAAAACTGCAGCAATGTACTATGGGTACTACATGCTCCCTGACGGAACGTTCTGCCTGGCCCCGCCTCCCCCGGGGATAGATGCCAGCTCCTACTATAACAGTATACCCTCAGCTGTCATGGCTCCCCCTACGTCTTCGGAGGCTTTGCCTAATCTGGGAACTACCCCCACGCCTCCTGAAAGTGTCGCAATGGCACCACCTGCTACAGCCCCCTCTCAGGTCCCCAGCTCTGCTGCTGCTGTTGGACCAGAAATCAGGTAGGAACTAATACACATCCCTGAGGAATACCAGTTTCTTTCGTTTTAGTGACATTCAAATGGATAGTGCTTTTGAAATTAGTCCCGATCATGTATTAATACATTAATTTATTTGGAGCTCCTGATCAAGACAGAAACTGATTTCTAATGAGCTAATTTACATTTGTAACTAAAAAACTTTATTTAGTGTTTGTTCTATGCATAGGGTATGATTAATCAGTTACTTAAATGAAATTGAAATGACTTTTTTTCTTTCAACATCTTTAATTTGCCCATAAACAGTTCTAAACCTGAAGCTCAAGTTTCCACACCAGCGCCACAAGCCATCATCCCCCCACCACCCGACTCCCAGCCAGTCATAGACAAGCTGGCCGAGTACGTGGCTAGGAACGGTGTTAAGTTCGAGGCCGGTGTCCGTGCCAAGAATGATCCACGGTAAGTGTTTCTCACCAGAGATGAATCTGTTGCTCTGGTCACATCTCGGTTTTTAGAAACTCTTATCAGTAACTTTACTTTAGATATTGCAGAAAGCTCTTCATCATCCATTGGCTTATCTTCTATACAGTAAGTGCTCACCAATCATTTTATAAAGTATGTGTTCTTCCCTCTGTCTACTGTAGGTTTGACTTTCTGCAGCCTTGGAATCAGTACAACCCCTATTACGAGTTTAAGAAGAATTACTTCATGCATAGGGAAGGAAGAAGCGCTCCAGAGGTATAACCGTTTGTATGTGTGTGTGTGTGTGTGTGTGTGTGTGTGGCCCCCCCCCAGCTTTACTTAATATGCCTCTCCCCATCTTGACACCATAAGTAGAAACTGTTTTACACTTGAATGTGTTTGATACAGTCGACCAGTACCGCTTCCATACTGCCAATTCATTCTTGAGTATATGGTGAGCATCCTGCCTATGCTTTATCACAGCTCATATGAGTGATCAAAACTCCTACGTTAAACCCTTAATAGCTTGTTAAAGCTTGCCAAGTATCACATTAGTAACAACATTAGTGTCATGGATATTGTTGAAGAGGAGTTTTTAAAAGTGGGCTAAGTAAATGTTCAGTAAGAAATGTCAGGGTAATTATATTTAAATGTTTTCATTTTCTTTATTAGTTATAATATTTAGATTCAAAATATGTTACATGAGAGTCTTGGCAGAGAAACCAGCATGAAGAGTTTCACATTAAATAACAAACAGACTTGAAATAGAATGGTGAAAAATAAACAGCCTTAACAATTTAATCAATTGACATCCAACATTTAATTAGCATCCCTAAATAGTATTCTATAAGGGAAATAAAGAACAAGAAAATAATTCTGCCACTGACAACCATATAAGCCAAATTGAAGGATTTCTAGCATTATTTGCTTAATTCATAACATATTTGACAGACATTTTTGGAAATAATCATCATATATTTATATGTTATCTTAATGCAATGTTCTATACTCTCATTTCTTTACTATATGCAGGGGTGCACATAACTGTTACGCATGCGCGGCAACAATCTGAAATGCGTACCGTCACTTGTGTCACAAAGCAAATTTGCGTACCGACGTACTTGTGAAGCTTTTCCAGAAGGCGGTTAGATCACCGGACAACAGTCGGTCTCCGTGTGCACAGACGGGGCTGCTGTTAACGTCGGTCTGTACAACGGAATTGTGCCAAAACTACGCCAACCGGCTGCGGAGGGAGACTCCCCCCCCTTCACTGGAGAACTGTGCTAAAACAGCTGATCACAACGTTCACGCTCTGTGGTCACGAAGTACTCCACTAGCCCCCCCCCCCGGTCGACTTTCCTGAAGTAGCCTACTCCACTAGCACCCCTGCCCCCCCCTCCCGTTGACGTTCGCGATACAGAGGGCTTCATCACATAACTTTGAGTGGAGCCAGAAGTTGGAGTACCACACACTGACTCCAGGTACTCATCGGAGTACCTCACTGAGAAAGTGATGTGCACCCCTGACTATATGGTCTCAATTGCATTGCTCAGTGAATGTTCGGTATTAGCAGATGAATCTCGCAGATGACCTTCACACGTAGGAAAAACAATGTTCTCCCATTTGCCCGCTGTCATCAACCTCACTGTTCCCCACCCCTGTATGTAATTATGTTGAACAGCATTTGCAGCCAATGTTTAGACCTGGGAAAAGGTGGTTTAAGCATTCACTGCACTTACACTCAACCTTGAAATTAGCTGCTTTTTGTTGCTGATAAGCTAGTACCTGTCATGGTAAAATTAGAGGACTAACATATTGAAATGACGGATGAGAGGGATACAGAGAACAAGAAGGATTTTAACCGGATGTGTATTTAAAACAAAAATGTAGTTTAAACTTGTCATCCAGCCCTCTTTGCAAATATCAAGACCTTTGAGGCTCAACATTCTGCCATTTCAATTCGTCTCCGTTGATTCTGCAATATTATTGAATGGAATTGCAGATTGCTGCATCACCTTATTTTTTAAACAAATTAATCGGTTGACTGCCCATGTGCAGACTTTTCAATTGTACTTATTCAGCAAGGCCAGTGCTGCAAAAGTACTACACATGCTGTCTATCATTATCCATAACAACTGAAATCCAATGATGCAGAATCTTCAGATGTATTTCTCTCCCTTTTTAGGTTGCGTACAGCATCAGTGGTCCCTTTTTGTACTTGTAATGTTTAAAGCAGAGCCCCATACAGGCTTAGCGTATGGTGATAGAGGATTTTGCACACAATGATCAGCTTTCTTATCTTTGTATCCTCTTAGTCAAATCAATTTACTGTCTGAAAAAATCCCTCTTGTTTTTCAATACAGTATTGGAAGGATAGTAACACAAATAAGATTTATTTTCTTACATAAATTCAGTAACTTTGGATGATCCCAACTTTATTTGACTTATAGTGACTGCTGAAGCCTCGTATTCCTTAACTTTTAGAACATCAAAGCCTCTTTGGTAGCTTCAAAACAACTCTACCCAAGGGCAACTAATTTAATTTATGTATAGACGCAAGGACGAGATACATCATATTTCTCCATACTAGTGATGAGTACAGTACAGTTCGCCAAGGGCCCTTTAGAATCCCATATCATGACACCTCAGAAGATGAATGGACTATGCATATTCACCACAAATCTGACTTGTTTATCATTTGTTTAAATGCAGTTCATTTTGAAGTTTCAAGCCAATCTCAAGGTTATTTATTCAGATAAATAAACTGGGTTATAGTTGGGTTTTACAATTTCCTATAATGTAGATCCTTTTAAGAAACTGAATAGATGAATGGCGGTTTACCTCTAATCTTCACAGTTGGCTGTTGGTTGTAGATAAATGCATTTTAATTCATTCTAAGTTTACTTACTGAGAGCAAACTTTTATTTACCAGAATGTTCCGGCTTTTGTGACAATCTTATTCAGAGTGTTCAAAAGTTTATACAGGCTCTCCCACGCCACCATCATCCCTCAGAATAAGGAATACATGTGATTTGAGCAGCCAAATAGCGCGTGGGTTATAGATGAATAGTTGTTTCTTTTATTGTTATGCCAATCTATGCTGGCTTAAATTCAAGGTTTGTTGAGTCGGAGGAGAAAGTGAGAAGTAAGCAAAAAAGTTTTGTGAGGAGCACATTTGTCTTCTGACGGATCAAATCTATTAGCTTGTCAGAGTGCAGAGGAGTGAGGGCCATTATGACACGGCTCCGGCTGCTCCAACAAGCCGCTGCCTGGTTTCTCCATCAAGGAAGCTGCCTCCTGTTTGTGATTTGTGCCGTGGTTAATGGGATGCAGATATCGCTGCTGTCCGTCACTGCTTTTATTTATTGTTTGGTAGTTAATGAAAAGCAAGAAAGGACTGAAATCACTCAAAGCAAACTTCAGCAGTTATTTGGGGTAACTGCTGCATTGTAGAAACATCAAAATACTCTTTAAACGTCAAAGGGATGTTTGTATTTGATTTTGGAATAATGCCAGAAACACGTTTATGATACTTACACATTTTATTCAGGAGGATCACTAACACCACTTGTTATGATAGTTGAAGCGTAAATGCAGTCACCAGAAGTAAATAGAAAGCTTTAGGCTGAAAATGACGTCACAACTCGAAGACGTTTAGTAGTCTCATTGTTTGGAACCACCTGTGTTTTTATGACACTTGAAGTTTCAGACATTCACATTTATTTAAGTGTGGGAGTTTACTGACTTATTTAATATAGAACAAAATGATAAAATCTTGTTATTTTGTATTAACCACATACCTTATTTCAGACATCTAACCAAAGATACCTTCAAAAAGAAACATTACCTTTGAGATCAAGGAACCAGAAAGAGTTAAAATGCTAACTCATTTCTGGGTTTAAGTCTCATTCCTGATCCATTTTGTAAATAACTTCCAAGTTAAAGGTGTGGAGAGGTCTTTTCTGATTGGCTTAGAGTGAGTTTCTTTCTGCGTCTTCCCCTGTGACCTTTTGATTTTACAGTGTTTTTGATTTATATTCTCCAGGGCCTCGGTAAAGTGCTTTGACTGTTGAAAGCTCTTTTCAATGACCGCTGCATAGTAGGAAGCTTCCTTTGAAGCGTTCTTCAAACATGGCAACATATTCCTCATGAGGCATTGTCCTCATCACCACTTTTTCCCTTTTATTCCATTAGCGGTTTATATTTGGGATGGATACTGAGGGCATGTGGTCCACAGGTGTTACTACAGAGGGTTTCTATATCTATAGGTTCTATAAAGGCTCTGTGAAGAGGGATGGATCCTACAGTGGGATATTAGAGAGCCAATTCGAGGGGGTTGAAGCTAACTTATTCTTCTTCTAAATAGTATTCAAAAGCAAAGAGTAAAAACTAATAAAAAGAAAATATTAATACTGTAATAAATTAATCCTGAACAGATGTATACAGCACCATTCACTGAAATAATGGCATTCTTTTTATGGTCACATGACTTGCAACCCTCTCAACCCCTCTACCTCTACCTGTAGCTGTTAAAGCATGTTTACATGATTTAACCTTTGATACCATAAAGAAGCAGGCTTGTATACTAGGGCTGCTCGATTATGGCAAAAATCATAATCTCGATTATTTGGGTCAATAATTGTAATTGCGATTATTCATTGACTTTGAAAACATCCATTAAAAAATGTGAACAGTATGTTTTTAACAGTTGATTACCCTGCACTTTAAGTATAATTCAACTGAAAAACCAATAAATAAAAAAAAAAAGTCATAATAAAAAAATAATCGTTTTATTTTGATTACGTTGTTTTCGTAATCGTTGCAAGCCATAATCGTAATCGCGATTAAAATACGATTATTGAGCAGCCCTACTGTATACATTAATTGTTAGGGAAATAATTGTCCTAGACTCCTAGATATGACGTGCACGACCAACCCTGACGTCTGTTATCTCCTTTAAGGAGATAGGCTGCTTCAGCCATAATGTTGTTGTTCCCATTCTATGACCGGGCAACCCTATAGGTCACAGATGGTTTATTGTTGTGGGTACACTGGGACACTTCCTTCTCGGTTTTTGTGGACTCCAAGGTGTGAAATCTTCGAGGCCATAAGTGTCAGACGCAAGTAACTCAGTGTTCCCAACTGTTTAGGCTATCTTCTCAAATATGTTGATTACTCTCTGCGAAACCAGTTAAATGGGCATCACGAGAGAGAGGCGCTCCAGATTTGACGTGGCAACTCTACCGTGAAGTCAGAACCTCTGGCTCTTGGACTTGTGATGTGAATTCTCCGGCCGAAGCTCCAAATAAACCATCAGTGTTTGACATCAAAGCTCCTGCTCTTCCCGTGTCTCCTTCCTGAGTCGGTGACTCCTACTGCATAGCTACACAGAAGTTTCCCTTACATTAATAATCACATATGTCACATTACGCATACAAACATCTTCCCGTCTTTCAGCAATCTTCATCCAGTTTGCAATAAAGAAGTGTACTGTTGCAATGCGTACAAATACACCATTTATTTTAAACATATGAATAAAACATATACAGTTACTACAGCTGCTGACTATAACGTAACTTGCTTTAGAAGATTAATATTTTGTTAAATTACAGTCTTGTACTGCTCATTATTTTAGTTATTCCCATAGTTTTCAAACAAGATCCTGTCTGTATGCAGCACATGTCTTGCCTAAATGTGGCAATGTGTTGAATTATATATATTTATTTCCCTCACATTGGCTTTAAATGGAAATGACATTCAAGTAAAGGGTGTTTTTTCCAGTCAGGTGTGAGAGGAGTGCACATTGATGTGTATGTGTCAGTCAGGTGCTGCACAGCCAACCTAAAACAACCATTCAAAGAGGCTAAAATGTGGGCCCTGTACAAAAGCTGTACAACAAAAGTTGATCATTTCCGTCTGCTTTTTTTCTTACTTCCCAGACAGTAGTAACACCTCATGTAACGTTAAAAGATTGGATCGACTCTAAAGTGTCTTCTGATGCTTTTAATGGTCTACTGACCTTTTCTATTCTGCACATCTTCCACTATAGAGATGCTAAATGCACTGAAAAACCTCCATTAATCACAGCCAGATGTCTGTCTCCTCCACAGTTTCTATTGTCTCCTCCACAAAAACACTTACTGTAGCGGCGGCGAGACAACTTTGGAGGTGTAAACTGCAAGTGCTTTAAAATGTGGCAGAGGAGTGATTACAATGCTTGAATGCCACAGCTTTAGTTTGATTGGAAACTTTTCAAATCCATCTGCCAGTGATGTTCTAAAATAAAGCATATTTTACTCCATGGGTTTGTGTTACGACAGGCAGATGGACAACCTGGATGTTCTTTTTTGTTTTACTTTCCCCATTCCAACTTTTTAGCACATTTTACTGCTGTACATCCAACGCTTAATGAATATACATCATGTTAAAATGAAGGACAGCCATGGAATCTAATTTTCAGAACCATCTGTCTCTTGTCAAACTCCTACTGCATCATGAACAACTTGAAACATACCATCAAGTTTTTCTGATATGAAGAAATGTTACTTGTGAAAAGTGTTTACTTTAAATGGATACGGTTTACGGTGTATATTATCTTATCTCTCTGTATTTCTCCTCTCTTTCTTCATCCAGAGTGAGGCAGCAGATGAGGACGATGATAAGTCCAACACCCAGGACTCCAAGCTGACAAAAGGTAGAACACCAACACGAAAAAGAACACAGTGCCACTTTTACTTCCTCTTACTTTGCTGATTTGTTCAGTAAACAGATGCAAAGCCTCGGGGTACATTTGAGCACATATTTACTCATATGTGGGTGTTCACGCTACAGCTGCCTGTGAGGCAGTTGGTATTTATGCTAGCAATTCCATTTGGTGACATCAGGCTGGAAATGTCTCCGCATAGATGAAAGAGTGCTTACCAACAACTGCTAGCGGGACCCATACAAAAATAAGCACATGTATGCAAATCAAGGCATGCATTTTCACAGGCTGTTCTTGTTGTGTGTGTGTGTGGGGGGGGGCAATAGGTCACACAGCAGGTCACGAAGAAAAGTATTCTTCAGAGTAGTGCACAAGTAAACTATCCTGCCTCCCACAATAAGTATCTAAGTCCTATATTAAGGTTATTTCTGTATGGAATGAGGCACATTGTCTTCTCTTTCATCTCTCCTACAGCAGACTCATTTGATTACACAATAGAAATCAATGTGAGCTTAGTTTAAACTCTCACTTTTATTTCGCCTGTCCGCCTTCGTCCTGTTCGGTTGGTTTCCGTCTGTGTTTCTTGTCTTGTAAACCCTCTTCTTTGGTTCCTCTTCCTCTTCTTCTCTTTCCTATGTTTCCATATTCTCTGTCCATCCCTCTCTTAATCCTTCTCCCAGACTCTCCCTTTCTTCCATGTCCTGAACCTTTGTATGTATTTATCATTGTCAAGTAGCAGCCTAATTGCTTTAGTCAATTCGTTTTTCATTTTGCTCTGACTTTGTCAAAGGCCAGGGTGCGCATGTCTACTTGTTAACAAGATGTACTCTTCTAACCCCCTTTGTTCTCTAATTAAGATGTCTGCTTGTTTCTCTCTGTCCCAGCCTCCTTTGCCCCAATCTGTTTTGCCATCAGAGCAAAGGAGAATGACATGCTGCCGCTGGAGAAGAACAGAGTCCGATTGGACGACGACTCGGATGAGGACAAGGTCAGTTTGGTCTTTTCAATATGGATAGAAAATGGAACCTTGAAAAAATACATTTTGTATGAACCTGCATTATCAATTAAAATGATGTTTTTCCTACAGTTACTGGAGGAGCAGAGTCTGAAAGATGTCATGGGTGGGACTGAAATGTTTGAAAAAGTGATTGCCTCAATCAGTGCACCAGAAGAGAAGAGACCCTCCCTCAGTTTGGAGGAGCTGGAGGCCAAACAAGGTAAAAAGATGTTTGAGAAAACGAAAAAAAAAACCTTGTTAAAAATATACGAATCCTGCACTGCTTCGTCCTCCGTACCTGTTTATTCCCCAGCTATCAGGCAACACAGGATAAAACATCAATGAATAATAATTGCTTGACTTTGTGAATTGCCAACACATGTTTCTTATTTCCCTGTATCTCAGTTTGTGCCTTCAGTCGGCCTCATTATGCCCGTCTGATTGACAGAATGTTGATTAGGCATCTGCTGTTGGATATGACACAGGTCATTCTTTTCCTCTGTTGAATTCGTGTGTGTGTGTGTGCTAGATTTCAATTCTCTGCATAAGTACAGGTGCTTACAAGACATCTTCATTACACCCACTGGCATTCTGTTGCTTTCTGGGAGCGTTGGATTTTGCAGGAAAAGCAAGAGGGGAAGTGTGGAGATGAATAAATCCATTGAGTCTGAATTATGAATTCTCTCAACAGGGTGTAGCCTGCAGTAAGACACGAGCAGTGTGGTACAGCAAACAACAGTCGTATATCTCTCCAAGGCCCTAATGGAGATGCATTTGCTCTATTTTTGTCTCTCTTTTGTTCCGTATGCTTGTAGAATATCTCACACTGGCTTTCCGCAGTCTTTACTAACCGAAAGTAATGCATCAGTGACTTTGCACTCAGAAACACTTGACATATTACGTCAGAAGGCATAAAAGCATTGTTTTTCTGCACATGGTTTACACTCTGTTGCCATTATCAGGGTTTTTATAGAACATATAGCATTTAAATGTAGAAACAAATATATCTCCGCTGATATAATAAGACCCCCGCTTGCTCAGTTAACCCTTTTCACAAAAAGCTCCAACATAAGGGACTAAAAACACATTTTACTTATGCATGTTGCCAATTTTATTTTCAAGGTTACAGTCCCATCTCTGAAATATTTATGTATTGTAATGTATGGCTATTAATTTCAGAAGTAATAGGTTTTTTTTACTAGAAGCCAGAAGCTATTGTACTTGAAGTTGATTCATTGCTTCTTGCTACACTTTTAAGAAGAAAAAAAAGATGCAATTGCCGTAGTTTAACGTAAAAAAAACTTGGACAGATTTGCCTACGTCTGCGTGCCTCTTTGAATGATCACAGAGCAGCTTAAATATACATTTATATTCTAAACATACATTTTTTCAATCTGTCAAAGAAAACGAGCGGCAAGAGCCGATACCTTTTTTCGATTATCAATAATACATTGGGGCTTACTTAAAACAGAGGCACACACCTTCTAATACAAAGAGTGCTGTCATCTTAAAAAATCACCATCATTTCTTTTTGACGTGATCAGAAGTAATGACTCAACCATTACATGAGGACTACTTGAAGAACGAGGTGTGTCTGCCTCTCAAAGCTTCTCCATAAAAGATGAAAGTAAAAAAAGCAAATGACGGCAATATTACAACAGTTTTTCGTAGACTATAAATTAGGGATGCACGATATTGGTTTTTTGAAACTGATAACTTCCTGCTTCTCAAGACCGATACCGATAACCGATAATAATATATATATATATTAAATGTAGGCCTACCTGTAGTTTTTGCACACCTGGTGGTAAAAAAAAGACTAGTAGTGAGCAAATGACATGAGCATTACTACTATGAACAAAACAAAGCCAAGAACAGTTTTGACTCTTCAAAGTGACCATATTTATTTTCCCAAATAAAGTTCTTGCCTTTTTCAAAAGCCTCGTCGATAGGTAAAAGCCCCGGTGCCTTTGCAGCTGGCTTTGGATTCGCCGCTAGTTTAGCAGTGCAGGCGTCTTCGTACGCTTTTAACACACCATCGTAGCGATGGCGATGTTTTGATTGATTGATTGAAAAGTTTATTAACGGCTTGTATATTGGGTACAGTACAGTACAGCTCAAAACATACAATTGTTAAGGGGATGCAGACCAGAGAAAGACTTTCGTCTTGTTTACATCAGGGTCCCCCATTTCCAATTCATCATGTCATTTAAGACATATAAGACATATTTGACATACAGATGGCTTATTTACAATTTACATACAGGTGGTTTTTTACATACAGATTGCTTATTTACAATTTTCATTTTAGATTTCGTTCTAATACATCCTAACCGGACATTTAAGACATACCAAGTCTACAGATATACAGTTAGTAACAGAGTCTAAAATGCGAGTATATACATAGATGGGGGGGGGGGGAAGCTGTCCATTGAACGACAGGTTGAGATTTGTACCATTACCGGGGCCAGTTTTGCAATGCTCTCCCCCGAAGGTGCTCTTTAAGAGAGGTTTTGAAGGTAAGTATAGTTTTACTTTCCTTTACAGTTGTGGGAAGAGCGTTCCACCTTGATGTGGCATAATTGCGAAACGTGTATTCCCCCTTTTTTGTGCCAAATCTGGGTTTCACATGATTTGTGGAGCTCCCTCTGGTGTTATGATCATGGTATTCCTTGACCTTTGGGAAGAATTTTGACATGTACATGGGTACCATAGAGGTGTAGACCAGGCCCATTGCAAGTAGCTGTACTCTGTCGTCTACTCTAAGCCATCCTAGGTTGTCAAAGTGGGCAGAGGTGAGGTGGGTTCTAGATGAAAGGTCAAGCAGTAGTCTGACCAGTTTATTTTGCGATGTTTGAAGTTTTATTTTTAGCGCCTTGGAGGTGCTATGGTACCATGACGTGCAAGCATAGTCATAGTACCCTTGAATGAGTGCTCCTGCCAGAGTTTTCAGGGTGTTTTTGTTTACCAGAGAGGAGATCCGGTATAGGAATCTAGTTCTTTGATTGACTTTTTTTATTACATTGGATGCCATTTTGTCACAGGAGAGGTTTGCCTCAAGAATAGATCCTAGGTATGTAATTTCCTTCTTACTTGTGACAATAATGTCACCCACTGCAACTGAGAAGTCGTCGGATTTGCTGAGATTATGTTTCGAACCGAAGAGAATGGACTCTGTTTTACCCAGGTGTAATGATCATTTATTATCGGCGAGCCAGGTGCAGATTCTGCCGAGCTCGGAGCTGAGGGTTTTTTCAACCTGCAACCTGTTCCTGTTTCAGGTGACTAATCAGGTTGGAAGTATTATAGCTGGTTGCCTTTTTCCCTCCTCGTGGAACTTCTGCATTGCATTTGTTAATACAAATAGCAAGCGAACTATCTAACTCTGAAACTTTGAAATAGTCCCATACTACCGACGAGTCGACATGTTTGTTTACTGTCCTGGCTTCACGGCCGCACACCATTTACGTCACAGCTCCAGTTAGGGAGCGCTGGATTTGTGAAAAACTCCCCTCTTCCTAAACCACTACTAATACTACAGTACTGGCAAAACGGGAGGAGCCGAGTGAAAAACAAGCGCCCCTCATCCCAATCCACCCACACCGCAGTATTTTTTCTTTTTTTTTACCCAAAAAATATATTTTATATTATCGGGGCTATTAATACTTTTATCGGGTTTATCGGGATGACGTCATAATTCCTAATATCGAACCGATAATTATCGTGCACCACTACTATAAATATGTTATTGCCAGACACCTCTGTTGGATTTTTTTAAATTATTTTGTCTGTACTGTCAATGGGTCTGGCTAGGGTTGAATTGCACAAGACCCAAAAACATCTCTGTGAATTGAATAGCGTGCTTTGTGTGGTAAGTATGCCACCTAAAGACTCTAAAAATGTTACTTCATTTTCTTTTTTCGCCAAAGTTTAAACTGTTTGGATTTTTTCCTACTTGAGAAATCACTGTATTTATGTTTTTCTCTTGTCATCGAGTAACTAGCTTGTGCCTGAGGTAACAAAATGTCATACAAAACTGATGATCGAAATAGGTTGACTTGCGAAGTGAAGTGAGTGAAGTGGTCTTCCCCAAGTCAGTATTTCAGCAAAATGCCCTTAAGACTTAGAAAGTGTAGACCTTTTAAAGATGCCTATTTCAAGATTAGATGTATATAGGACTTCGGATCTGTTAAATTAAACCTTTACAAGATGGACAGAAAGACAGTTGAGACGGCATCAAGGGTCGTGATGGTTCCTGTTTAGGTTCAGTGGAACAATCTCAGAGCGTAATGTCCTCTCTGAGGGCTGTAAAAGCCTAATAAATAGCTGGCTGTATTGGCTTTGCTGTGTGGCAAAGTGGCTGTCAGTCAGCAAGCCTAACTCGATCAGATAGCAGGAGAACCAGAGGCAGACAGCAGAACGCTAATCTATATTGACGGACTGGGAAACAGCCGCACACAGACACTAAATGCCGTTTCAGCGATAAGTACATGAATGGTTTAGGTCGCTGCAGACATTTCCCAGTGGATGTCTCATAGTGGTGACTTAAAATAACAGAATATCGTAATAAATCAATGTAGAGATGCTATTCCGGGATGATGGGAGATTAAGTCTAAATGTAGATGCACTTTATACACCTAGTTCATTTGTTGAGGGGCTTGCAGAGACTCTTGGGGTACAACAATGTATCAAATGGCAACATGGAAACTGTTAAAATGTGTTTCAGGCTATTGTGTTTCGTGAAAAAGCTTTAAAAACATAGACTACGTACACTACCTGTGCAACACCAAAGCAGACGGACAGAATTAGGGCTTACTGGTGCATTTAGCAGCTAAAGAGAGAGATATTTACCTCAGGAGTTGGTTAAGACCAAAAATGGAGCTACAAATAGGAATGACTATTAGTGGTTATGATACAGTATGTTCACAACTTGTGTTCTGCTACCCTAGCATGACTTAACATAACTGTCATTGTGGGTTTAACCAATATTTTCATTATCAAAGTGTCCATTATTTAAATCACTGTTTAATTCATTCAATTTCATTTTCACTCATTACAGAAACATTGGGTGAGGGAAAGTATTCATGACATTATATACATTTTACTGTACAATTCTGGGTCAAAAAAACAAAGCAAACTTTATAAATGTTTCAATGAAGCACATAAGACAAAGATGTGTCTATCAATTCTTAACTCATCATTTTAATTGTGAAACCCACCCTTCCTAGATCCATAACTACTTCACAGACAATGGAAGGGTTTTGTTTCAAAAGAAGCTGTTATACATTTTCCCAAATGTAAAACGGTGTGAGTGTATTGGTGATAAATTATGTCTTATGAGTCTATGAATACAGCAGTGAGATTCAGCCTCTGTGTTGTGTCACTGTCAGGGTTACACATTGATGCTGCTCCACTTGAACACCGTTCACACTATACTCCAGAATGATTTGCCTCGGCTGCCGGCCTATTTTAAACCCTGAACAGATTACAGTAGCCCCTGCAGTGGCATCACTTAACAACTTGTTCTCCGTCAGCGTTTGCCTTAGACTTCACTCTTGCCTTGTTTTCGGTGTCTCACTCTTCCTGTGACCCGTCTCATCGCTCCTCACCTGTCTATCCCCGACTCGTCTGTGTCACTTCATCTCCTTCCCTCGCAGAACTGTGCATATGTTTCACCCCCAATTTCACTCGGATATGTCTCCTCTTCTCCTACATTTTGATGCCTACTTTTTTTCTGTGTAAACCTTGGATTGCATGACATTGTCTACCATTGGAGATTCAGTCAGACCCTATCATTTTCATTTGGAACTTCAACAGCAAGTTTCTTCTTGTAGGTCCATACTTTTCTGAGGTTTTTGTTGTGTCTTACACTCTCAATTGTCCTTCTGTCTCTATTTGTGTCTTTGAGCCTTCCTTTAGATTCTTGGCTTCCAAATACCGTTTACCTGTAGTGAGAAGCAGAGCATAACCCCTCTTTCCCTCCTTTTCTCTGTCTTTCAAATCATTCTCCTCACTCATGGCACTATAGCAGAGGTATTTCTAGCTGTGGTTAGAAACAAAAAAAAAGGACTACAATTGTTTTCATCACCTTCCAACCGTCTCTCTCCTGTTTTTGCCCTCTCAGCTAAGCAGAAACTGGAAGACCGTTTAGCCACGGCAGCCAGAGAGAAGCTGGCCCAGGCTTCTAAGGAGTCCAAGGAGAAACAGCTACAGGCGGAGAGGAAGAGGAAGGCAGCACTCTTCCTCCAGACCCTCCGCGGCCCCTACGCTGGGGAAACTGAGGCCAAGAGAGCCGAGCTAGATGCTACTGCACAGCTTGAGGTAGGCGAGCGCTTAATAAAGATGTGTGTCTATATTAAAACTAAAGTTAAGCCAAATCTGTTAACATAATGCAACTTCATATATTATGAATGTTTCACACCTGGCCAACACAAAGTTTTATCATAAAAACATAATTTGTTGTATCACTAATGTTTAGTAGTTGTATAGCATGTAATGTAAAGAGCTGCTTCATATTTGAATGCAGTTTGGAACATTGTGTTAAATGTGAAATCATTTCTGGCCTCTAATATCACAAATGTTGTGTAAAGGGAGACTCTGTTCTACTCCTTGTATTACTTTTCCATCTGGAGCCAAACAGTTTGCTGTGAATCACGTCACTGAGATATCTGCAACAAGTGTGTGTGTGTGTGTGTGTGTGTGTGTGTGTGTGTCTGTTGATTGTACGTTTGCATTTTTTTAAATCTGTTTTTTGATAATCAAACCGCCACTTGATGTTCAACTAGCTTCGGTTTCTTTGACATGGTTGGCAGCCCCACTATTTTCTTCAATATGTGAAAGCAAGTTATTTTACAATTTTAGCAATACCAGTCTAAACAAACTTTTCAAACATGAATACAGAATTTAGACTTGTCTCCCTGCACTCATAACCTTCCATTTTGTGCTTTTTTTAATTACCACAAAAAGGTTGACATATCTTGTATAGGTACAATCAAAACATTTTAACAATGAAGCTTTTTGGGGTGAATGACAGCAACTAATGCCACCCACTGACTTCCATTATTCCGCCATTGGAAGTGGATAAAAGATCACAATTGCTGTCGGTAAAAGGATTGCCTGGATCCTGCCACATTAATTTGTTGGCTGTGCTTTTTCAATACAGCTTCTTAGTTTGTCTCGATGTTGAATTGCTGCAAATATTTGGTTCTAGTAGAAGTTCAGTAAAAGGTCACATCAACTGCAGATGGCTCCGTAACCCCATATATTACAACAGCCTCAATCTTTACATTTGATTAAAATTTCAAACATGTACCAGATGGCATATTGTGTTATCTTTCCTGTGATGTTTTATTATTGATTATGTTGAAATGAAGTCCCAGCAACCTACAGCTGTTGGATCTCATCTGTGTGCGGCTATATTGATGGCAGTTTCCAGTTTATGCTGCCATGCAATAATATATTAAGAGATTAATGTCAGCTTGCTGGGGGAATATCTTTATGTACATCAGTCACATATATGTCGTGAATATTGGGTAGCGGAATACATTTAAAGATCGCATGAATACAGCGGGTGAAGTAAGTCAGACATTATTATTGAGCTGCTGTTGAGTGGAATTTGTGCGAGGCTCTGCTTTGTACGTGTTCTCCTGTATGAGCAGCTTCAGGCCTGGGAAATTCCAATCAATAATTTCTGTAAAAGGAGGTGGTCTTTGTATGCTGAATGAGTATATCACTCCACAGCCATACTCATGTATAACATAGACTGTTTTGAAGGCCGAGGTTAGAATCTTTCCTAAGGTCTAAATTGAATAGAAATGACTATGTACGTTTTCTTAATGGCATAATGCTGTGTTCTCTTGTATGCTGTATTTCTATTTGCTAAACGCATACACGTTTAAAATCAGAGGATGCAGGATCCCAAAAAAATGCGGACATGGGCAGTTGAAGAATATCTTTCCTCGTGTTGACCATTGTACTTGGTACATTGCACTTTTATTAGTTTTTGAAGGTGATTAAAGTAGTGTTGCACGGTGTACCGATACTTGAAAGGTACCGCGATACCCTGCCGTTAAAAACATTACGATTCCTCCGTTTCATTAGTATCGGTACTTTAAGAATGACGGGGAAAAGTAAGTAAGTTTTAATAAGAGCCGTGTGTGTTCAGCGCTCTGCTTCCACTCCCTGCACTGCAGCCGCGCCTGCAGTCCCGCCCCTCTCAAGCACGCACTAAGTCCCTCCCCTCTTTCGTGCACGCGCTAGCTGCCAGAGCATGTGAGAAAACGGGGAGCAATTGGCTGCAAGTGGGAGTGCAACTGCCGCTGTGCCTCGGCTTGTTGACAAAAAAGACGCCAGAAGCAACATTTGGAAGTATTTGAGCTATATCTCTGACAGTGAGGGCAAGCCTACGGACACCACGAGGCCGATCTGTGAGAAATGTTTTAGATCCCTGCAAACCAAAAAAAGAAAAAAAAATTGATTTCCTGTATTCTGGTACAGGTGGTTTGATACTTTTATGTGGCTATACTAGCATGAGGAAAATGATGGGTACATTTTGTAATTTCATCCAGTAGTAAAGAAAGGAAACATATTTGATTATTAATTCAGAGCCGTCTTTGAATTAATAAAAAGCAGTTTAACTGCCAATTTTTTTGTACATTTATATACAACAATAAATATTTGTGAGTGCATTGAGAGATATTGTTGTGGAGAGTCATTTATATATAAATCGCAAAATACATTTGTGAATCCTTCTGTGAGCATTTATTAATATTGAGACCGATCTGACTCCATACAGATGTTAAGTTCACCTAGGAATGGTATCGACTTAAATGTTCAAATAAATGTTGCTCTTCTGTCTATATTGGTCATATGATGCCCAGACCCGGCATCATGGGCGGGCACCATGGGGCCGGGCCCGCCCATCCAGGATTTGGGCCCGCCCATCCAGGATTTGGGCCCGCTGTTTTAATCAGGGCTGAATACCACATTTGTATTGTTTTATGATTATGTTTATTGTAGGGCTGTCAAACGATTAAAATGTTTAATCAGATTAATCACAGCTTAAACATTAATTAATCATGATTAATCACCATTCGAACTATGTCCGAAATATGCCATTTATTTATGTATATTGTTGTGGGAATGGAAAGATAAATGAAAGAAGGCGGATATATCCATTTAACATACAGTATGTATGTATGTTTATTAATTTCTGCGTGTCAAAATGAAAGACAGGCCCACACACCTATCAATCATCAAACCGTGGGGTCTTAATTCCTTGACCACAGTGTGAACGTTGTGATCAGCTGTTTTAGCGCAGTTCTCCAGTGAAGGGTGGGGGGGGGAGTCTCCCTCCGCAGCCGGTTGGCGTAGTTTTGGCACAATTCCGTTGTACAGACCGACGTTAACAGCAGCCCTGTCTGTGCACACGGAGACCGACTCTGTCGTCCGGTGATCTAACCGCCTTCTGGAAAAGCTTCACAAGTACGTCGGTACGCAAATGCGCTTTGTGACACAAGTGACGGTACGCATTTCAGAGAGATTACGGACATAACCTGCGTACCAGTTATGTGCACCCCTGTACTACAGCAAAAGTATTCTCCGTCGGGACTTCCTGCAACAACACCACGCCGTTATCTTGATTCTGATTGGCCAGAAGACATTATCAAAGATGTTCTATTGAGAAGTCGATCACTACGTGACAAAAGTTTTCAAAACCGTGGCTACTGAAATCAATCTTACTAACTGCTGTCTGTGCAATTTACTCCGCGAGTTGGCAGACTTTATTTTGCTTACTTTAACATCATTTTTCATGGTGGGGCTGTTAGAAATTAAAATCAATGTTGGTATGGCGTAATTTGAATTAAATACACTATTTAATTTAAATCAGTTTTATTCTGAAAAACCGGAAGTTCACTAACTATTAACTTAATACTTTTATTCTGAAAATTATTCACTTCCGGTTAGCATGTGGCGAAATGCTGCATTTTCAAACCGTGAATTAAAGGTGAAATTACATGTGATGTTGTACACTGAGCACACTGGGTTTAGCACTCATTTATTACCGCTGAATAACGTTTATTAGGTAATGTTTAGGTAATTAGGTAATGAAATTGCATTGGACCCGCCCCCGACGACGCCGGCCAATAGGAGAAGACCTCCGATGACAACAGGAAGAGCAAGCCAATAATTGACCCCTTCTACCTGCTGACCTGGACTGACCGGTCGGATGAGGAGAGCGCCTCCAATCGCACATTTCATTTTGTACACCACCGCATCTTTTGTGTAATTAAATGCTGTTAACTTTTATAAGCTTCCCTTGACTCTTTTCAGTCTCTCCTGCCTTCAGGGTTCTAGAATACACTAACAGGGCTAAGCCATTTCTTGGTATGGGTGTGGCCTACCCCAGCCATACCCTGGCGCTGCCACTGGTGGCACGTATGGGGCGGGCCATTCTGCACATGCGTTAAATGCGTTAAATATTTTAACGCAATTAATTTTTTTTTTTAAATTACCGCTGTTAACGCGATAATTTTGACAGCACTAGTTTATTGTTGTTATGTGTAGGGCTTTGTCCTAATATTTATTTTTGCATTAGTTTAATATCATTTTTTTATTTTGCTAGGAAATTCTGAATGAAAGTGCGCGCACGACGCTGGGTTGAGTCGTGTGGGTTTTTGAGTGAGATGCGGCACAGCAGCCTGTCAGTTAGTTTACTCTTGCTAGTGGTTCACGAAAGGAATATGGCAACTCAGCGCCAGATGCAGGCACATTAGAAGAAACCAGTTAGGCCTACGTTACCAACGAGCAAGCAAGTCAGCTGGCAATCAATTATATTTTGAAATTTACTCTCAAGCCGGCTCTCTCACAAACTCCTGCTCTGTGCGCAAGCAGACCGCTGCACAGGCTCTCTGCCTCGCTCAATCTCTCTCTCTCTCCCTTTCTCTCCATCGCTCAACCTCACTCCACCTCTCCACCCTGTGTGCGCTCAAGTTTGCCTGCGTGCTTGCCCAAGTTGGCACAGCGTTACAAATGTGCCACAAAACCAACCAATGGATACATAAGACCATCAACAGCCTAATGGCAACCTAAAACCCCTCTCTTTCAACAATTCACGAGTGCCTCCCTCCCCCCCCCGTTGACAATTCAGATTTCCCGGGAAATGTAAGTGTCGGGTGTCAGGGTGGGCCCGCCCCCGCCCCCGCCCCGGTAAATCAAATGCCCACCCAGAGATGTATGTCTGCCGCCGGGTCTGATGATGCCCCTTGCCTGAAATGTTTCCTGTTCATTAGGCGCATTCACACCGCAGTACTTTTCCCACA